CTTCTTTGATCCTGTAAATCCACTTGTTATGGAGCGCTTTCTTGCCTGGTGGTAATTCAGCTAATTCCCATGTCTGATTTGACATAAGCGAGTCCATCTCATCTTTCATGGAAGACTCCCACTTGACTGAATCCTCCACTTGCATTGCTTCATCATAACACTTTGGTTCACCATTGTCAGTCAGCAACAAATAGTGCAAAGAAGGCGAATACCGTTGGGTTGGTTTAGGAATTCTGGAGGAGCGTCTCAGTTCTGGTGTGTGTGGTTCTTCTTGAACTGCTTCAGGATTGATCTGAACATCATTTCCAGAAATCTCCTCGAACTCAGCAAATTCCTTTGTTTCAGCTTCGGTATTACTTGATTCTGCGGTTGACCTATCTTTGTACATCACATTTTCATTAAAAATGACATCTCTGCTTCTGATGATCTTTCGATTTTCGTAGTCCCAAAACCGGTAACCGAACTCATCACCACCGTAACCAACAAAGACGCATTTGTTGGACTTGGCATCAAGTTTACTTCTTTCAGCATAGTTTATGTGTACATAAGAAATACAACCAAACACTCTTAAGTGTGAAAGGTTTATTTCTTTCTTGCTCCAAGCTTCCTCTGGTATTCCGCCATCCAAAGGAACTGAGGGCCCACGGTTGATCATGTAAGCTGCACTGTTGATAGCTTCAGCCCATAGAAATTTGGGCAATCCGGCATGTATCCTCATGCTTCTAGCATGTTCATTCAGAGTTTTGTTCATGCGCTCTGCTATGCCATTCTGCTGCGGTGTTATGGGAACTGCTCTCTCCATCTTGATCCCATTGTTTGCGCATAAATCTCTGAAACTACTGTCTCTGTACTCTCCTCCATTGTCAGACCTCAACCGCTTGACTTTCAAACCAGTCTCATTTTCCACTATGGCCTTCTATTTTCTGAAGGTATCAAAGACTTCTGTTTTCTTCTTCAGAAAATAAACCCACACATTCCTTGTTGAATCATCGATGAATGTGACATAATATAGTGAGCCTGCAATAGATGGAACAGGAGATGGTCCCCATACATCAGTATGAACCAATTCTAACCTTTCTGCCTTGGGAGTCTTGCCAATCTTTGTAAAATTGACTTTCTTTTGTTTTCCAAAGATGCAATCCTCGCATAGTCCGACATCTACATTCTTTAGATCCGGCAGCTTCCCTTTTGACAGAAGTATCTTCATTCCTTTCTCGCTCATATGGCCGAGCCTTTGGTGCCATAGGTTTGATTTTCCATCAGCATCTGCTACTGCAATGATATTCTCTAAATTTGAGGTTACATAGAGAGTACCGGTCTTCTTACCACGAGCAATGACGAGTGCTCCTTTGGTAATCTTCTATTCACAGCCTGAAAAAGTTGTACTATATCCTTCTCCATCAAGCTGTCTAACAGAAATCATATTTCTTTTGAGGCCAGGAATATGTCTCACTCCTGTCAGCTTCCAGGTGGTCTGGTTTGGCAGCTTTAGTCGGATGTCTCCTTTTCCGACGATCTTCAAGGTTTCATCATCAGCTAGATGAACCTTCCCAAAATCACCACTGACATAGTTCTCCATGATTTCTAGGCATGGGGTGGAGTGGAAAGATGCCCCTGAATCCAAGATTCATGATTCAATCGGACTGTTGACGCTTAAAATCATGGCATGACCTGTCTCCTCCGTCATGTTGGCAGATTCCTGTGCGCCGGTATTTTTCTTCGGTGCTCGGCAATCTCTTTTGAAGTGACCCTTCTTGCCGCAATTATAACAGGTAAAATCTTTATTTCCTGTTCTTGATTTGCCCCTTCTGGATTTTGATCTGCCACGATTTGAATTTCTTTCTGAAGTTCTCCCTCTAGACTTCGTGTGCAAGGCTGAGGAGGTTGATGCTTCACCCGATTCTCTTCGTCGAATTTCTTCACTCAATACCAGATCCCGAACATCGTCGAATTTTAATTTGCTGTTTCCCGACGAACTGCTGACTGCTGTAACAGTAGCATTCCAACTGTCTGGTAGAGATGATAAGAGAATTAAAGCTCGAACTTCATCATCGAACTCAATTTCCACTGAACTCAACTGGGTTGTGATTGTGTTGAGTTCATTTAGGTGTTGTGTCACCGATGCCCCTTCCGCCATCCGTAAATTGAATAATCGCCTCATCAAATGAACTTTGTTTGAGGCCGATGGCTTCTCGTACATACTGGAGAGAGCCGCCATAAGACCCGCCGTCGTCTTTTCTTTTGCTATGTTAAAAGCAACATTGCGGGATAACGTCAGTCGGATAACTCCGAGGGCTTATCTATCGAGAAGAGCCCAATCTTCATCCTTCATGCCCTCTGGTTGCTTTCCTGAGAGAGGTTGATATAGATTTTTCTGGTACAAAAAATCTTCAATCTGCATCTTCCAAAAGCCAAAGTCCGCACCATCGAACTTTTCAATTTTCACCTTCTCTTCGTCTGCAGCCATCGCTCCCACTCGAATCTAGCTTCGTTTGGATCGTTTCTGACAATTCTTGTGAATCACCGTGTATTAGAACACCACCATCGACAAACTCGTATCGCCGACCGAATTTCACTATTCACGAAATTCACTATTCACGTGAATAGTAATGAATAGTAACCTCGCAGAAAATTTGACAAAATTCACAACCAAAAGCTCTGATTACCAGTTGTTAGGAAAATAAACCGAGTACAAGTAATTTCTCTATAGTCAGATTAGTGAGAATACGAAATAAAAGCGGAAAAATAATACCCGAAATTGATAATGGAGTTCATCCAATTGTGCTTACGTCTCCGGACTGCTGCAGATCTTTTACTAAGAGATAAAATTTACAGGTGTTTACAAAACACTCACTACTCACAAGAAAACTCTCTAGTATTGAGAGAAATAAATGATTTGGGATGATTTTGAAACTAAATGGGTAAGGGTATTTATAGTAGAAACTTAGGGACTAATCTTTGAAAATACCCTAAAGTGCAATGACTAAAGTGAATTTACCCATTCCTATTTTCAACAAACATCTACCAAAATTTTACCAAACTTTGAAAAATATTTTTCAAAAAAACATTTACCAAACTTTGAAAAAACATTTTCCAAAGTTGATTGCCAAACTTTGAAACTTTTAACATCCCCACAATAAAACATCCGGTTCAATACATCAACTCGTGGAGATTCGACTCGACTAGGCCTATCGTAAGGCAGCCAGAAATCATTCCAAACCGAGACAGTGGATCCATTCCCCACCCTCCATCGAAGACCCTTCTTTAACAGACCTCGAGCGCTCTATATATTCCTCCAAACATAAGACGAAGATGAACCCAACCTAGTATTGAGAAAATCACTCGTCTGGTAATATTTAGACCGGAGTAACCGACTTACTAATGACGAAGGATTTTTAGACAATCGCCAACCTTGCTTTTTTTAAAAAAAACAACATTAAATTTTGTTATGTCTCTGAAACCCAGGCCACCATTATCCTTTAATTGACTCAGATCACCTCATGAACACCAATGGATTTCATGTTTTTCTGCTGATTTTTGTCACCATAACCAGGCCATGATCCATTCAAGCTCTTTACAAAATGTTTTTTTTTTTTGAAGAAAACAATTCATTGCAAATATTGGGATTGCTTGAAGAACATATTTCATGAAAACATCTTTCCCTCCCTGTGATAAAGCTCATACACACCAACTCCAGTTTTGATTATGAAAATTTTCCTTCAAGTTCATAAAAGCTCCTTTCTTATCTCGCCCCATAATGGCTAGGAGAGCCAAATACTTCTCAGGATTAGAAAAACTTTCAAAATACGACAGACGACATAACGATTCACATCTATCACATTCAAACTGAAGAAGATACCTGATTTGTCACAATTTATTTGTTGGCCTGAACTGTTACCATACACCATCAGGATAAGTTTTATTTGTTGAGTCGTTCTTGGCATTGCCTCCCCAAGTATAAGACTGTTATCAACAAATAAAAGATGAGAAATAACGGACACATATATGTTTATCTTTACTCCTTGAAACTCACCCCTCTGAATAACCCATCGGATTAAAGTTGAAAGTCATTCACTACAAATTAAAAATAAATAAGGACTCAATGGGTCCCCTTGACGAAGCTCCATTTGAGAAACAAATCTCTCTCCAAATAACACATTTAAAATGACCGAATAAGAAACTATGATCACACATCTTTTCAGTATATCAATCTAACCTGATGCAAATCCTATTTTTCCTATCACCACTCAAATGAATCCCCACTCAACTCATATCCAATTTCAAAGAAAAGTATCCTTCCCTTCCTTCACGTCGCTTCACAAATGAGTGCAATAGCTCATATGAAGTAATGATGTTATCAGTAATCAACCTACCGGGAACAAATGCGCTCTGTGCTTTATCGTTACATGTATCCAGGAAACATTGCATCCTCAGCACCACCATTTTCGAGACTATCTTGTAAAGAACTTACACAAAATAAACAAAATAATCGATATTTAATGTATTGATGATATATAATTTCATTAAATTAGAAAATAACATATTAGAATAAAATTTTAAAATTAGAATTGGAATCACGGAATCAGATGTTGGATTTAAGGTTTCAAGCCGAAACGTATGCTCATCCTTGAAATGGGACATTTGAGGTTTTCCATTACTTGCCCTATCTTGAATGCATCATTGTTATGGTGTCAGAAGCTATATCTATTGATGCCTTTGTCCTTGCAGAATGTTTCGTTTTATATGAAGGTTGCATGTTTTTGCCCTTGCAGAATGTTTCACTTTCTATGAGAGTGGAACATGCACTCGCTGTAAATTATATGTTCTGAGGTTGTAATTCATATCCACCACCCAGGTCCTGCAAGAAGTTTTGAGATGCTATTCAGTACCTGAAAATTTGTTTGGCAAGGTTTGCATCATTCCATCATCGTAGATGAGGTTAGTTGATTACAATGAACAATTTATGATTTCCTAAATACTGGTTTTTTTCTCTTTTGGTCATGTACTTGGTTTTTGTAACTGGTAACACATTCTGGTATTCCAATGTCTATTATTACTGCTATTATTATTTGGTTTAGAGGAACATTACAATGGCTGGATGTCCATTTTCTCCTTTCTTTAGTTTCTTTATTTACGCAGTTATTAATTAATTTAGTTTCATTGTTCCTGAAATAGACTGAAAAGATCCCAATAGATGAGATTAAGAGAGAGTTGAACGCCACTGGGTTGTCAGAAGAGGCTATTGAGGAACTATTACAAGTCCTTTCCATAAAGTCATTGACTAAGTTGGAAGGTTGGTTTCGCTGTATATTATTCCCTCAAAGAAGTTTCTATGTCCATGTTAAAAGCTTCAAACAGAAAACTGACTGTAAATTATTCAGATTTTCTGAAATATGTCAAAATATTTAAATTCTAATTGCGTGTCCTGTACTCTTCTTAAATGAAGAGATACTTGGAGGTGCCGGGGAAGCTATTGCTGACTTGAAACAACTATTCTCACTTGCTGAAAAGTTTGGTTACTCCGATTGGATTCAGTTTGATGCATCAGTTGTTCGTGGTCTTGCTTACTACACGGGTATTGTTTTTGAGGTTAGATTTATGATATAGTTTTCCCTCCATTGATATAGAGTGTGGTCACTTACATAAGAAACTGAATTTGAAAGGACAGTTCATGTTTTATTCTCCAATGTCTACTTGCTGATGGCAATTTGTTATTGTTGCCAAGAAACTAAATTGGTTTAATTTTTGTGGGAGTAATCGTGTAGTGTCTTTCTCTAAGGGCCAGAAGTCTTATGACATATTGAAGACCTTGATTATTAGTTTAGTAGAGATGTAATTGGTCTTTCAACTTGCCAGACGTTATAATTATAGAGCTGAACCCTGATCCTCAGAGAAATTATATCCAAACCGTGTTAATAGCATTAATTTTTCCTATGAGTGTATGATATGTTCATTTGCCTGTGGCCTGTACTATCAGGTTTAAGCATGGAAAGTCTCTTTGTGGTGTTTCTCTGTTTTATCTTTCAATCATTCAGTTGTTTCGTGAAAATTATAAGCTTATTGAAGTCTTTAATATAGATTTATCTGTTATCTTTGCTCTTTTTGAACTTTCAGTTTGACATATTTTTTCAGGGTTTAGACCGAGAAGGAAAGCCGAGAGCTATTTGTGGTGGTGGGCGATATGATCGGTTACTTTCTACTTTTGGCGGGGATGATGTTCCAGCTTGTGGCTTTGGGTTTGGTGATGCTGTCATTGTGGAAGTAACTGAGAGTCTTATTTCATATACAAATGGTACTTTATATATATTAGTCAATCACGGATCATTATGGTATGATAAGTCATGTTACCGGCGTTTCATTTTTGTTAAGAAAAAGAAATGAAAACCAACATGATCATGAATTTATCTAAATTATGAAACAAAATAAAATGTAAGTGGATAAACAGAAGGAGAAAAATAGAATGAATGTTATATGATTACCACCTGTAAGGTCTATGAATCATGTCATAAAAGCAATTAATAGAGCATCACTTACCACTATCATCCCCCTCGTTTGACAACTTTATTCTCTTTACTCTCTGTGGTTGAGTTGGTTACAAGTGTGTATATAAATATATGTTTCTTTTTTCCCTTTCGGATGGATCCTATCATTTGCTCACTGCTTTTTTTGGCATGTGTGGGGATTGTGTTCAAAGTTGCTCAAGGAAAAGGAACTCGTACCGGAACATAGCCTTGAAGTAAATAACATTGTTTGTGCACTGGATCGTGATCTTCAAGGAGTAGCTGCAACAGTTGCTAGTAAACTCAGGGAGAAACGGCAAAGTGTTGATTTAATCTTGGAGAGCAAACCACTTAAATGGTACTAATACGAACGATGCCCTTTAAGCTACTTGGACGGGGTTGTCAAACAATTTCTTTCATGTTTTGCCATTCGAGTAATTGTCATTTTGATTTCATTTTCTTTTAGGGTGTTCAAACGAGCGGCACGGACAAATGCACAAAGATTAATATTGGTAGGAAATACCGAGCGGCAGAAGGGTATGGTTCTTGTAGAAGTGCTTTCATCCGGTGAACAATACGAGATTAAGCTGGACGAGTTGAGTGAAAAATATTTATTCTTTGGCAGCACCTTTTATGATGCTCATGCTTTATGGACATGTCTCATTTTTGAAGATTCGGCTAATTATATCCTTACATTACAGCATAATATTCTATCATAATACTTTGTAAAATTGATAGTTAAATAATACTTTTTTAAAGTCGTTAGAAAATGCATCCTTTGTAGTGATGAGATCGGGATTGTATCCGGAAAGGCGGACTAATATATGGTTAATATACAATGTTATCGGATACATTAAAAGATATTTGATAAATTCGGTTTAGCGCTATCAAAAATATCGAGTAATAATAATGTAATAGGTGGAAATCATGAAGAAATATTAAAAAATTTGGCAACCGGCAAACTTAGCTTGTCGGTTTGTGTCGATACTTTATAAAAATATATTAATCCATAACAATATAACATGTAAAAAAAATGATAAAACCGGTTTATAAATGACAAAACAGGTAAAGCGCTACTGGATATATTGAAAGTGTCGATACTTTATAAAAATGTATCTATCTATAACAATATAACAGGTAAAAAAATGACAAAACCGGTCTATAAATGACAAAACAGGTAAAGCGCTACCGGATATATTGAAAGTGTCGATACTTTATAAAAATGTATCGATCCATAACAATATAACAGGTAAAACAATGACAAAACCGGTCTATAAATGACAAAACAGGTAAAGCGCTACCAGATATATTGAAAGTGTCGATACTTTATAAAAATGTATCGATCCATAACAATTTAACATGTAAAAATATGATAAAACCGGTCTCGAAATGACAAAACCGGTAAAGCGCTACCGGATATGTTGAAAGTGTCGATACTTTATTATAAGCATCGACACTTTTAGAATTTAAAAGAGAAGAAGTTATAGCGCTAATAAAGTGTTGATACTTTATAAAAATGTATCGATCAATAACAATATAACAGGTAAAAATATGATAAAATCGGTCTCGAAATGACAAAACCGGTAAAGCGCTACCGGATATGTTGAAAGTGTCGATACTTTATTATAAGCATCGACACTTTTGAAATTTAAAAGAGAAGAAGTTATAGCGTTAATAAAGTATCGATACTTTATAAAAATGTATCGATCAATAACAATATAACAGGTACAAATATGATAAAATCGGTCTCGAAATGGCAAAACCGGTAAAGAGCTACCGGATATGTTGATAGTGTCGATACTTTATTATAAGTATCGACACTTTTGGAATTTAGAGAAGAAGTTATAGCGCTAATAAAGTGTCGATATTTTATAAAAATATATCGATCCATAAAAATATAACAGGTAAAAATATGATAAAATCGGTCTCGAAATGACAAAACCGATAAAGAGCTATCGGATATGTTGATAGTGTCGATACTTTATTATAAGTATCGACACTTTTGGAATTTAAAAGAGAATAAGTTATAGCGCTAATAAAGTGTAGATACTTTATAAAAATGTATCGATCCATAACAATATAATAGGTAAAAATATGATAAAATCGGTCTCAAAATGACAAAATCGGTAAAGAGCTACCGGATATGTTGATAGTGTCGATACTTTATTATAAGTATCGAAACTTTTGGAATTTAAAAGAATAGAAGTTATAGTGCCAATAAAGTGTCGATACTTTATAAAAATGTATCGATCCATAACAATATAATAGGTAAAAATATGACAAAATCGATATCGAAATGACAAAACCGGTAGTAAAAAAATGTGATTATGTGGTCATTTTTATTTCAGAATTTTTATTTTTTAATACGAAAAGTTAGATATTTTAAGCAAAACTCAGTAAGAAAAGAACAAAAACTTTACAGTAACAAAAGAATAACATTGAATATTTAAATACAATGTTACCGGTTTAAATATATATGTTTAGTTAGAAAATAGGTCAATATAAGCGCTACCTATTACATTATATAAGCGCTACCTAATATATTATTATACTTGATAATATTTCCGGTTAAATGATATAACATAACCGGTCTAAATTTTAATCGATTACTTATTTAATAGATCACGCCGTTTTTTAACCATTTTTTAGAAGCCGCAAAACAGGATCACCCGATGAGATCCCAGGAATCCAAAAAATTAACTTACCCTGGAATCATAAAAAATTCAAACACCAAACTCAAATTTGGATGCCACCATATATATATTAGGACCATTGGAACCTTCGCAGAAGGGGCACTTGGATGCCACTTTCATTGGTCATCTTCAGTAAAAACTATCGTCTTGTTCCATTGGCGTTGGGATATTTCTCTTTTATCGCAATTTGCAAGCCTTAAATTCTTCTTGATCTCACAAAATTGAATAATATCATTATTTTTAAATAAATTATGCGTCAAAGCCAATCGTTTCCTTCACCACGTGTCCATTTTATAACATGTGTGGAGTGTGGACTCGGTTCTTTCCCATTTCTCTTTCTTCTTCCCCTCTTTTGTATCTCCGATCATCTCTGTTCCTTCAATTCCTCTCCTGATACATATATTTTTATTAATAATAATCTAATTATAATGGCTAAAACATCCGCTATCTTCTTCTGCTCTCTCTCTTCATTTCCTTCTCTCTCTCCTTGGAGAGAACCCAATTATTTCCTCCCAAATTCCTTCAGATTCTCCAATCGTCCCTCTCGAATCCTTCGTTTCTCTTCTAAAGCTTCAGAGTCCGGCGGCTTACACGGTGACGATTCTTTTGGTTTCTTTCCTTGGTCCCCTGCCGACAACGGTATTAAAAAAGAAAACATTTTTTCCTTTGATTTTAATAATATTTAATCATCCATTCTTTTTAATTGTTTGATCTAAGAGAGTGAAATCAAAAGTTAGGTACCCGAATCTTCAAATATTATTTTACGTTATTTTTTGTTATCAAAATCGGAAATTCGCCTTCACCGGAACAGGTGTAAGATATCTATGTTATATATTGAAGTTTCTTATTATTCGTAACGAAGTAGATGATTGAATTGAATTGATTAAGGGGTCATAGGTGTTAAAGGTAAATCTAAGACGAAATATTTTTTTTAAAAAGTTTTGCATTGTGATTTGATGTGATACTATTTTCTTTGTATTTTACTCAAATTTGCAGATTTAGAATGGGTTCAAGAGGAGAGAGTCACTTTGTTCACTTCAGATGGACTAATTCAAATTGGAGGCTCAATGGTTCCACGGCGTTTAACTTCTTCTGACGTGTGTATTCTTACTAACTGGGTCAATTTATGGTTTTCATCCCTATACTATATGCCCAATTCAGTGATTTAGTCCCTGTTTTATTCTTTAGTCTAAGTCATTAACATTGTTAAGAGATCCGTAAATCAGCTGATGTGATTCTTTTAAAGAACTCGAAACCCAAGATTTCTTATTTCATTTGAAAGGTAAAATTATGGTTATTAAAATAATTGTTTTCCACTAATTTAGTGATTTAGACTAAGGCATAATGTTAATTGGTAGGTCTAAATTGTGCCAAGTTTGGGGACTTAATCCCCAAATTCAGTATAGCACAAAGATGAAAACTTCACTCTTTCTTGCTTAGGGTTTTTAAGAGCTATCAAAGATTATGTTGTTAATTGACCTAAAGAAATGGAATTTTAAACTTAGATGGCATATAGGACTCTAGTCTTATGTTTTTGGTTTATTTATCGGTTCATCCTTTTAGAATATTCTGTTATCTGGGCAGAAGAAGCAGGGGAAGTCAAAACCATCACAAAGATTACAAAGGTTTCAAGAGAGTGATTACATGGATCCTAACCAAGGCTTATGTCTAGGTGCTCTTTTTGACATAGCAGCAACAAATGTAAGAAACTCCCATGCTGTTATTTTGTCATGACCTCAAGGTTTCAATCCTAAAAGACTTGAGACATTCTGTTTGGTCAATCTAGGGACTTGACATGGGCAGACGGCTTTGTATCATTGGCTTTTGCCGTTCCATTGAGATGCTTAGTGATGTTGTAGAAGATATCGTTTTAGAGCACGGTGGGGAGGTATGCAGCATTGGACCGGAATCATCTTCCCTTAAATCGTTATCACATTCCATTTTTACATACGTAAAGAAATTGAGTTGAAAATCTTAGTTTAAAATAGTGTACGAGACATTCTAAACTAATATTTCGTAAAATAACCTTAACTTTTAAGATTCTCTCACCATATCTTTTGTATTAGCTCCTTGTTCTTTTATCAGGTACCATAGTTCATATTGATGCTTGGTACTTGAATATTGACATCTAGGTGAGAAAAGTTTTAGTTCGTATCTTGAAAGCTTGATAGAATTTGTCAACTAGTAACTGAAACTGGGAGTAAGCAATATTTTTGTTTGTTTAGTCAGGGATTCGGGTGTAGCTATCAGGTATGAATATGGATCTGAAACAGATATGGTAAACTGTTTTCAAGTTTTCCCATGTATTTGGAAGATCCTTAGAGGTCATATCACTATATCCATGTGTTAGAAGTGGATATTCTAGGAAAACGAAGAGTTTGAGCAACATAGGTCACAATTGGTGGTTGTTGACCCTATTTTCATATTTTTTAAGTGGACGTACAAGTCTGCTTTGTTTACTAAACAAGCCATGAAATTGTCTTTGCTGAGCTTTCCATGTAGAATCACCAGCTTTAAGTCGCCTTCCATTTTAGTAGCTTTCTTAAGCTTTGAATTGAAAGCAATATGTTATTATTAGAAATCTCTTGGTTCACTTTCACAATGCGGTTTAATATACTCCTAATTTGCTCTCTTACACTCATTTCAACGTGTAGCATATCTTTCCTTTGTGTTCTTCATTTGTATGATCATTGTTTCTCGATCCTTTTGAGGGTTTTCTTGCCTTCTTGTTTCTACTTTTAGTTTTGAGATAATCTTCTATCCATATGGGTTCAGGTCGTTACGGCGGAGAAAGCCATCAAGGGTGGTTTGCATGAAAAGCTTACCATGACAGTTGCAGTGCCATATCTGTGGGGTGTTCCCCCTGCTTCCGATACGCTTCACCTTGCTGTAAGAAGTGGTGGAGGGATTGTTGAGAAGGTTTATTGGCAATGGGACTTTTTGTAAAAAAAAAAAACATCATGAATTTCTTCTAACCATTATTACATTGTGGACATCCTTTGTGTATGCTGTACATATATAACTGTTGTATTCAAACTCATCAACCCAATTCATTATTTGGGAATTTCCAATTGATTATTCTTAGTTTTCTGTTTATGCCTTCAGCCTTGAGTAATGGAGTTTGAATTTGATTGATTTTCGTTTTCAATGCTGGTGTTTGGTTTGATGTACGAGTAATTATTTGATTTTGGTGGTTAGATTTGTTTGTTCAATAAAAATGAATTCGATTCTTGATTATTAATATTTGAGTTCAAGTTCCACACTACGGATTCAAGATAATAGATACTCGAGTGTTTAGCTTATCAGTTTTATATTTGTAACGAATAACAATTTTATCATTTTTTATTAATCTCGTATAATTATAAAGTAGTTCTTAGACTCTTAATATTAAATGTTCAGACCATTAATATTCTCGGTGCTCGAACCTGAATCCTTGAAGAATAACAATAATTCTTTTATCATTTGAATTCATAAAAAACAGTTGAATGTCTATGAATATTTTAAATTTGTTAACCAAATTACCATTATTAAGATATCGTCCATGCTTGGAGCCATAGTTAAGGGACCCGATCCGAGCTCTCACTAGCCGCAACCACCTAACTTTGTTTGGATTTTCTTGCATTTTCAAAAGTGAGTCATATCAATCGTCGTTAGTAATTAACGGAGATTTAATGCGGTTTCTGTATTTTTTTTATTTGACTAATACTAGTCTGGTCATTTGTGATTAATGAAAATTTAATGATTTGTGATTTGATTGATATAAAAGTAAAATAGAATAAAGTATATAAATGATATTCGACTATATGTAATATTTTATTAAGTCTTTTAATTATTAAAAGTTATAAAATGATTATTTAATTATAAAATATTATTTTATTAAGCCCCTCGATTATAAACAGTTACAAAATAGTCACCCGACTATATATTATGTTCCAGAGTCATCATTTTTGTTAAAAAATTGACGGTTGTTTAAACTAGATGTTAACATGATGACTAAGATATGATATTCGTTGAGATTTATGAATCAAATTTTATCATATTATAGTCAGCATGTTAACATTCGGCTCAAAATACTGTTAGTTTTTAACAAAAATGACGAGTTTAAAATATAATGAATAGTCAGATGACCATTCTATAACTTTATAATCAATAAAATTAATAAAATAATATTTTATAATCAAATTATCTTTTTATAATTTTTAATAGTATAAGTAAAGTATACCGAGGGATTAAACATGGATTGAAACTGTCATATTGATTGCTCTCTAACAAAAAATATCTGCTAAAACCTTATCCAAATCTATGTGTGTTACAAATTCAAACAAAAGTCCAAATCTTCTTTTTCTTTCTTATTTTGGCATTTTCTAATTGTTTGATTCACTAACTGGTCCAAATCTATGATATGATTGCTTCTTGATTGAACATGTTTCTTTTTCAGTTGGGATAAATCTCACCACCAGGAAGTGTCGAATGTGCAGAGTTCCCAGGTAATGGAATTCTAAACCTTAAACGTGGGTGAATGACGAGTAGGATCTAATGGAAACTATGTTCTTCCTCCAAAAGGGTCCTCAAATTTGTATCTATTTACCAAGCGTTGTTGCTTTTAAGAAAGATAGCCCTTGTCTTTCATTTGAACACCGATTCGATTCTTACAACATTCCAAGGTAATGCAAACATCACTTCTTTACGCATTAAAATTGCAGAAAAAAATTATAAAAACCAGTCAAGTGTTAACTGAAGTTCTGAGTTCCGGAGGAACTTGATAAACTTTATGCATTAAGCTTTTGAAAAGAGAAATTCGAGTCGAATACTCGACAATGATACAACTAAATTTGGACATTCTTTGGAGTCGAATACTGGAGTAACTTGTGAGCACACACGTACCACTTTTGTGAGTCCTCTAAAGGTGGCAACCCTCTTGGTCTTTTGCTTTACTAATGGTTGTTGCTGCCGCACTTCTTCAACCAGCATGTCTTCCTTTTCCCCCCATATTTTCTCTGTCTTCTTCTTCATGAGCCACTTTTGCGCTAGCTACCCCTTCTTCCATCTTCCGATGATCCCAAATGGCTGCCTGTAAATCAAATTAAAATGGTGGTGATGAGACCCTAAAAATGGAAGCCGAGAGAGAAGTTTATATTCCTAGAATCAGAGATGGAAAAAAAGATGTTACTAGTGGTATTTCGATTGATTATCCTTTATTTTTAATGCTTATTTGTAATTTATTTTAAATGTCTTTTAATTCTCTTTTAAATAGAATTAAAGTGTGCTTTACAAATAATGATTTTGCCCTTATTTGGTTTTAATAGTGAACAATTTCATTCATCTGAGATATCCCTAAACAAATAATTATTTTAGAAACACTTTCTTTGGATAAACATGTTATGATTGGTTTGAATTGGGGGAAGAGTAGCTTATTTTTCAACAATTTAGAAGCAAATTCATATCGAAAGACAGCGACCCTTTACAACCAGGCTACTGCAAACAGATACGCCAATGGCCTACAAATAAAACCAAAGGGAAATAGAATCACCAAAGTAGCATAGCATAATCTGACTCGCCCTGGGGTGGAAGTGCTTCATGGTGATGGAGGAAACCCCAAAATGCCAAAGGATCGAAGTTGCCCTATAACAGACACCTCCCTTGAAGAAGAAGGCGACTGACTAAATTCAAATAATAATAGTGTAAGTAAAGGATGGACAGCATTTGAGCCACCCCCGGCTGCCTGGTTTTGAGCATTTGGAAGACAATGGAAGGGGTGGCTCCTGAGAGGGGTTGATATTGAAGCCTCGTATGGGTTGATATAGCAAGCTAGTGTGTGTGTCAAAGAAAATGTCAAGAAAAGGGTGATGTTTTCACCTTTTTTTCTGTTATTAAAAAACAAAAGATGAAAAACGAGGTTGGTAGTTTCAGCATCACCCAGGGGATATGCCATTGCCTATTTCCCACCACCCTTAATTTGCACCACATATATCTTTTCATTTTTCGTTGCTTACTACATCTCCTTTTCCAATCCCCTTCGTGCTCGACAGACAAAATCCAAATATCTATTCAAAACTCTTGTCCACTGTTCGAGAAATTATTTTATGGTTCCGGCTCACCACGTCTCATATGTAGTCTCGTGAATTATATCTATTAATTTTAAAATAACTTTCAAATAATTGTTCATTCTTTTTCAAGTTTAATAAAAATAAAATTAAACTATATCAGTGACCACCTAACTATAGCCCGTTTTCATTTTGATCACTTTTTTTTTTTTTGAAATTTTGTCAATTAGGTCATTCGACTATTTAAACACATTCAATTAGGTCACTTGCCGTTAACATTTAATGAAAATGATGACGTGACAATTAATAAAATTAGTATAATTACACATTTGGTCATCGTTAATTATAGGTCGCTAGTGCCAAATATAATGATAACCGGAGGATTTAATTTATTTTATTTAGTTTCCACCAATCAGGGTATTACCCTCTAGTGAAAAGAAAATTAAAAATGGTAGAGAGAAAACATGGGACTCAAACCAATATCCCTTGGGTGAAAAAGTGGAAGCTTACCCACTAGGAAATGTACAAGAGATTAGACACCAAGGAAGGACAAAACGGCATCTTCAGGCTAGCAAAATCCAGGGAGAACAGAAAAAATGATCTAGGTAGCATTAGGTTTATTAAGGACAGCAATGTTGTTCTTTTAGTGAAAGATCATGATATTAAGAGGGTTTGGGGTAGTTACTTCTTTGGCTTATTTAATGACGGTGCCTCTCCCTGTAGAGATAGTACCGTTGATGGGTCAACCGACCATCATACTACGACCAATGACTGCCCTACAAGTAGGATTGGGTTTGAGAAAGTCAAAATGGCTCTTAGAAAGATGGGGAGGGATAAAGCTGTCGGTCTAGATCAAATTCCTATTACCGTGTGGTTGGCCCTAGGAGGAGAGGGAGTTAAGTGGTTGACCAACATCTTTAATATTATTTTAGAGACTGCCAAGATGCCAGAGGAGTGGAGAGAGTCTACGGTGATACCAATCTATAAGAATAAAGGAGATCCCCAACGTTGTGGCAGCTACAGAGGTATTAAACTACTCATCCATACCATGAAGCTACGGGAAAGGGTGATAGAGGCTAGGTTGAGACAGGTTTCTAGGGTTTCGAAAAACCAATTTGGCTTTATGCCAGGCAGGTCTACTACGACGGCGATTCATCTACTACGACGGCTTATGGAGAAATATAGGGAAAAAAATAGAGATCTTCACATGGCGTTCATTGACCTTGAGAAGGCGTATGATAGCGTTTCCCGCGATACGATCTGGAAGACCTTGGAAACGAGATGGATATCAACTGCTTATATCCGAGCGATTCGTGATATGTACTATAGATCTACTACATATGTCAGGACTACAATTGGCGACACCGAGGCATTCCCGGTGGAAATCGCACTCCACCAAGGGTCGGCTCTTAGCCCTTACATCTTCGCCTTGATTATGGAAGACATTTATTTTGCGACACCAGACGGTGTTCCATGGTGTATGCTTTTCGCTGACGACATTGTCCTAGTTGATGAAACAAAAACTGAGTTGAATAGTAGACTGACTACTTGGAAGACTGCTTTGGAAGAAAAAGGTCTAAGGATCAATATTGAAAAGACAGAGTATTTATGTTCAAACTTCAGTGGGAACCAAAATGATGACGATGTAGAAGTATGCATAGAAGGACACGTTCTATCCTCAAAGGATTGTTTCAAGTACCTAGGATCTATGATTCATAAAGATGAGGGTGTGGATGATGACGTTACACACCGTATAAAGGCAGGATGGCTAAAGTGGAAGGCTGCTATTGGAGTTTTGTGTGACAAAAAGATGGTTTTAAAACTTAAGGGAAAATTTTATAGAATGGCAATAAGACCATCGATGTTGTATAGATCAGAATGTTGGGCAATCAAGAAGGATCACGAAATGAGGATGGAGGCCGCTGAAATGAGAATGCTTCCATGGGTATGTGGTAGGACTCTGTGGGACATGACACCAAACTCTGCTATTAGGATGTCCTTG